TGTCGACCAAAATGTGAAAAGATCAATACAAAACAATAAGAAAAAAAATAAAAAAAATAAATAACTTATTGTTATCCTATAGTTAATTTATATTAGAATATTGAGTAATAACATTCTTAGTATTTTGTGAGATCCGTACTCTAATGACATTATGTGGTATTATAAATATACAAAGCGGTTTCAGCACATTATAAATAATACGAGAATTTTAATTATGGAGTGTACTATTTGTATTAGTCTTTCAGTTCGGTTTTTTTGATTTTTTTTATATAATTATCGTCTGGTATATAACACATAAATTTTAAAATATTTAATTTATTTTTTATAAATGTTTTATAAACACACACACATATAATAATAAAAAAATAAAAAATTACCAATTAGTGTAATAAAACAGAATCAACTTATACCGAATTTAGTTAATATCTATATAATTTTGGACATAAGTATTAGATGTTTTTCTATTAATGTTATTAACAACAGACTGAAAATTAAACTTTTGTAATCTACTAGATGGTAATCATTAAAAAAAAATTCGTAGAAAAAAACTATTAGTATAGAGTAACAAATTTACACAAAAATAAAAAATAAATTAATATAATTTATATAATATATAAACGATATAGATTTGTTATAAGTATATATTAATGATACAGATCTTCAGTACCACCGAAGTTATGTTGGGTTGACATACAAAAGAAACAATAAAACTATACACATGACAAATATTAAAATATAATAATAATAAAAAAAAAATAGAGAGAGATATAAATATAACAATGAGGACATACTTCTTGACTTTATATAAACCTCTGCCATCCCTCGCGCGCTCTCTTCCCCTTCCCACCCACCCTTTCTTCTATACCCTCTCAACCACCGCCCCTCCACACGTCATTGCCCATCCCCCGGGCCTCCCCACCTCTCTCCTCCCTTCCCCTCCCACGTCCTCCTCGAGCAACTCTCCCTTTCTTTTCCTCCCTCCCTCTCTCCCCTCTTCGTTCTTCCTCACCCTTTTCTTCGCTCCGCGTCACTTCGCTCACGCTATCTCTTCCCTGGCGGCGCCGCCGGCGGTCGCGCGGACCACCCCCGCGGGCAAACACACAATAAAAACTAACATACACAATCATCTTTGATGATTAACAATAAACTAAAACATAACTATAAAGAGAAAAGAGAAGAGAAATATTGGGAACACAATATACATATAAGGACTATAAAAAACAAAAATAAAAAAACAGAATAAACAAGACTCGTGCCTTACTTCCTAGCAGTTTTTTGTATTGACCTGACTTTTGTTTGGTTGAGTGCGGTGTGAGTGTTGTGTGTGTGTCTCTTTCATAGTATCGATGTTCTCAACGTTCTTTGTTGCTGCAGTTTTTACTCTGTGTGTTCTTGTCATCTTACTTCTTTCAGTTTGTCATTAACTGTTCTTGATCGTCTAGACGCTATTGACTTTGCTTTTCTTCTTAGTTCCTTCTTTTCCTTCCTTCTCTGTTCTCTCTCCTTTTTTGTTTTTCTTATTTTTTTTCTTCTTTATAACTTTACACTTTTTGCCTTTCGTGTGCCTTCCTTGCCTTTTTATCTTTCTCCTCGTAAAAAACATAAGCGGCTTTTTACGTAGTAGATCTTGTATTTCCGTTGAGTTGTGTAAGTTTATATCCACTTTTTTTTGACGCGATTTTACCATCTCCATACTTTTTTGACTGTTAAGACTTTTTTTGTTGATTTTTTGCTAGGGTACGTAGGTGTCTTTTCTTGTTTTAGGAAGTTACGAACACGTAGATTGGAAGAGTGTTGCTGTGTTTTTTAGGACGTCAGTCTATGAGCTAGTTGTTTTTTGCGTTCTTTTTCACAAAGCTCCTTGTTTCTTCTTTGCCCTGACTTTGTCTTTTTTCCCTCTCCCCTGAGTTTTCTTCTACTACTGTCTTTCTTTTCTCGACGTTTTTTCGCCTTGTTTTTTTTTACTATTTGCTATCTTTTTTTTTCACGTCAGTTTAGCGTACATAAGTTCTTGGTTTGTTATTTATATAACGTGGCGTAAGACCTGAGATTCCGTTTACGACCTTCAACTTACTATTATAAATCACACTCTACAAATTCACGTTTGCTTTCTATTTTTCATAGTGACTACTTCCTTCATGTACTGATAGAGACTTATGACGTTGGTCTTTTGTTGATGTTTCGTGTGAGGGAGTGTGTCTTTGTGAGTGTTCTAAACTCTTCTTTTTTTGTATCTGGGTTATCCTTACTTGTTGGTTATTATCTCTCTTTCTCACCACAATCTTTTTTCCGTTTGCTGTCTTTCCTTTTGCTCTTCTTCCACACATCTACACTTACACATCATCATCTAATCACTACTACACACACTACACACACATTCTCACACACACATCCACACAGCACACACACACACCATCTATCTTTTTTTCTTTTTTTTTTTTGACACCACTACTTACACACTACAGCACACACCTATCCCTACTACTACAGCTTAGCTTGTTTTCTTTTTTTTTTTTTCACACTCTACTACCACACGACACACTACACATCACACTTCTGACACTTTTTACACAACTACTATCTACTTACGACTCCACACACACACACACATATCTTTACTTACTATTGATGTTCCTACCTCTCCTTTTTTTATCTCATTGACTGTTTTAGGTGGCAGTTGTTTCTCAGTTCTTTTCCATGTTTGACGTCGTTCTCATGTCTGATTAACAGAGGAAGAGGGTCCAACAATGAATTACATTCTCTCTCGAGACGGTTTGTTGTCGTCAGGTCTTTGTCAGACTATTGAGTAGATCCTGGTAGTTCCTTGTTTCGGTGGCGAGTAGTAAGAGACAGGATGGTGTATATGTTAAATAGGAGGAGAGAGAGATGAGGTTGTAGAATGTAGGGGACTAGGCGTTTCAGTGTTTTTTTGCCGCTTGCTACTTTCTTTCACCCATTCTCTTTTTCGATGACGACGACCACTCTGTCCTCTTTTTTTTCTACTCTAGACACATCGCTTACCTCCTTTTTATTTTGTTTTTTTCTTTCTTCTTTTCCGCCAATACAACGTCTCGGGAAAAAGGTGTACGATTACAGAAGTTGACCAACTCGATATCCTGTTCCGTTTTGTGTGTTTATGTGTATGCTATGTTGTTGGTTCAAAACACTTTTCTTTATAATGTTTACATCTGTTGAATTTCGTCGTTTTTTTCCGAATGTGACTCGTGTAAGTGTAATCAAAATTTACGTCTGGGCACACTCTGCATCACCGGGACACGTACTACATACTCTACTTAAAGTTATGGTCCGGAGACGTCCTTACGCTAAAGGACCCCATCGCCCCCGACAGGTAAAAGTTACTTCTGTATGTCCTCCTTCTTCTAAGTTTCCCTAGTGTCCTAATAGAGGTCAAAAAAGCCGCCCGCCCCCTCTTCGGGTACTGCGGGACTCTCATATCCGCAGGGAGGACAGAGCACCACCTGTGCCTAGTTCAGGCAGTAGCGTGGACGTCCGGCAGGGGCGGAGCGTCCGTAGTGCTGCCTGTCACAGTAGCCCACCTCGCCGGCACCCCACATCCGAAGGAGGTCCGTGTGCGGGCGCCCACGACCCTTTCTGGTTCTCACTTGTCTATTGTACCAGTCTCCCTTCTGGTGTGTGTGTGTGTCGGGTGCGGTGTGATGTCACCCAGGCTGTTCCGACGAACTGATCTAAACGTCACTCGCGGGTAACGTCAAACATATCCGTCTTTACCTATTACGTCGTTACGGCTGTTACGCCTTGTTAGTTTCCGTGCCCGGACGGACCGAAGAGAGGGAGGCAGGCGTGAGCGATAGAACACGGGGGAAGCAATACGCGAACGAAACCGTCACCGCACGCCACAGAGAGGGTCAGTTGGACGCGCGAGGTCAGAAAAATTGTAAAGAGCCGCCCCCCAGACCCGCCGAATCTTCTTTTCGACTAACGTCCAGATACAACGAGGGCACGATTGTTCCGTTTTACGCTTATGTCTGTACGTGTGTGTGTAGAGAGGAATAGAGGGAAAAAGAATTTCATACAAACACAGGTTTAGCGGAGGCGCAAAAATAACCTAGTAACCTATCCCGAAGTCCCTAGGCGTGTCGGGAGGTCACACATCGCATCAATTCCCAGCCCCAATTACTGCGGGAGTACTCGAGAACTAAGCCCCAGTCGACGAGAGTGCGGGCGGGGCGGGGGGGACAGTCTGGGTCACGATTTTTCCCTGTGCTTTTCCGTTGTCTCGTTATCTCTGTACTCGCGCGACTTCCTTCAAAGATCCGAAAGTTTAAATGAACGAGGAAAGAACCGGAGAACGGAGGACAGTTAGGCACCGAGACACAACCGTCTGTTCCTATCTCCTCAACCCAGCGCTGTCTCCTGTTTCCGCGCACGCCGCACTAGGGGACCGTCGAAGAACAAATCAGGATATTAGTTGGGATTCAGTAAATCGTCCCAGTGTATGAAAAGAAAGAAAGAGAGAAATAGAGCGGGAGCGAAAAGGGTAGTACCGCAATGAAGCGGTCTATCTATAATTTGTGATATCCTACACGTGTTGTCGTCTTATCACTATTTGACATAAGAAATAGAGGGTAACTAGTATAGTCGACTGGTGTAAAATTGCTGAGGACTTTGGGTCGGAATAGTCGGCGCACCTTACACAAATACTTAAATGTCCAAAGCTGGTTTGCGAATTTCCCGGAGCACACAATGCACACGCCCAAGAGTAAACTTAATGATAGTTTATAGTTCGGTATTTGCGACGAAGTTCGAAACGTTCCTAAACCGTGCGTCTCATAGTATGGCCTCTGGCGTCGGTCCTACCTCTTCTCTCACAGCCCGCGTGTTTCTGTCTATTTCATCTCCAGCTCAAAACTCCTTCGCTCCACGCGGCCCTGCTCGTCCCTTCGCCTGCCAACACTCTCTTTCACACTCTTTCCTCCCGTCCCGCTAGCTCACACACTTCCNTGTGTGTGTGTTCTTACCTTGACCTGTCCAACGTAGGCGTGATCTTTTTCCTCGATGACAGTGAGGTTCAGTGGCAGTGAAGAATCGAACAGCGGGTCGTTGTCATTAACATCTGTCACCACAATGTTCACTGTTGCAGTGGAGGTCTACACACAAACACACACACGCGCACACGCACACGCACACACACACACACACACACACACACACACACACACACACACACACACACGCGCGTTATTGTTCTGGTCACTTCGGACAACATTCATTGTATTCATTGAACATCGTATTCCATTTTATCCGGCTTGCGTTATATGATTTTATTACGTGATGTATAATCAGAATACACAGGAGAAAAAACATGGTGATTTTTTCACCAACTTATTTTTTCCTCCTACTAAAAGCTATTTCATGTAAAAAACTACAGAGCCCATTTTGCTTGTTATCTAGCTGCACTCTGGCACTGGCTGGCTTTAATAACTGTTTACTTAGAAAAATACATTGGAAACTGTTCGCCATTGGTCCACTTTGCATCTTCTCCCACCGTGTTCAAAATGGAGGAAAGTGGTTAACATACGCATAATTAAAAACTGTATTAAAATGAACTAATAAGAGGTCAAAGGAGGACCACTTCTAATAGATCTTGTGGCAGTTTTTCAAGGACAGACGGCTCGAATGTCGAATGAATAGACAGGAATCTGTGCCAAACAAGACCCGGGAAATGCATTAAATTTGACGCATTAAAGCATGTTAGTTCGCAGGGGATCCATTCATTCAACGTTTTACAGTAAATGTCAACAATTCTCGACAAAGCAGCAGCCAAAGCACTTAGAAAACATGTCCAGGAAAGAGAGAGAAGCTGGCAAGAGGACCACTAATTTCTTAATTTGACTTTCATGAGGAGAGGGAAAGTGATTGTATGTTTGGCTTTTAAAGAAGAGAGCTAGTAGGAGGTGGAACATGAGGGAAAGCTAAGTGAATCACAAAAGAGGGATGAAAAGAGAAAAATGAGCGTGTGTGGGTGTGCGTGTGGGAGAGTGACAATCAGAGAGGCGACAACAGGCTTTTGGGGTTGGCAGGGCACACGGTGATGCAAGTAATTTGCGAGGGTTAAGAACTCACAGTTGACAAAACAGTTTATCCGAACGCCAATATATGTAAAGTAGAATGAGCTCTGATATAATGACAAGGAAAACTGTGAGCAGCGGAGGCAAACACAGATATACAATCTCACACACACACATGCAAACACACGGAGATAGAGAACAAGAGGCGGTAAGCTCCATTGTGCATCGAGGGGCTCTAAGCACATCATTTTCTGATAAGCGGCGCATATCACAGAGTTTATATTAGTGCTGATACCATGGCCACCTGCCAAAGTGTACAACCCACCCACTATGGAGACAACATATTCTAACAGTTTTAAATGTTTTCTTTACCATGCATTGTCCAAATTACCATTATGATTTATAGATGAGAAACTGATCAATAATATGTGTACAGATTATGTGGTCATAGCTGTCTGTGAAGGGTTTACATTGTGCTCGTATCCTGTAGAACAGTGGCTGGTAAAAGCTTAAACAGACATGGCCTTTGAGGGATTGCTCACTTTTGCGTAAAATATGTTACACTGATATTAACTCCCTGCTGCGTGTTCCTGCTTGCCTTTTACCTACTGACAGACGGGAGGGAGAGAACGCTCACTTTTCCCTAATAGTCTCGAAGAGGTGGCTCATTTGTCAACATTTCTTTTTCATAAAGCTACAAACTAGTATCCCATCTATGTGTGTGTGAATGTGTGTTTGTATGTGTTTATGTGGCTATATCAAAAGTCACCCAATGCCAGCTTTTCTAGCAACATAAAACCCATCATGCAGCAAATCGGTGTACATTTGAAATGGAAAAAATGGCCAATCAATTACTGCATCTGTAATGTGTGTTTCTCTAATAAACACTTTCCTGCCGTTGAAAATATTTACCGGCACACTAAATGTTCAGTTTATCGTTAGCTCATGTAGGTGCAATTACATTTAGATTTTAATTAAATGCCTCTTTCATACTTCACATTCACTGGCTCCTTCTCTCGCTGTGAGGCAGTCAGCTGTAGGTGCACAGCGCTGACATTACAACTTCTCACTATCACTCTGCTGATACACTCATGAAAATGCTGTTTTGCTGCCAAAGCTCCATCAACACCAGCTCACTCATTGGACACTTCTAGAAAGTGGTTTTGTTTATGAACAGAGACAAAACAATTATACCCAAAGCTTTAAAAAAAAAAAAAGCCCCCGCAAAAAAGAACTGTTTACACATAGCTGAGTATTATTTTATTAAAAAACATTTAGCGTCCAGCTGTCTGAGGAGACAACTTAGCTTTAAAAAGAAAACAAGGAAACTATAGTTCTGTCATCAGCGCTAACGTACACTATATTTAATGGCAGAAACATTCGCTTATTCCCATATCCCCCATGATGCATTACTACACAGTCCATTTGGCAACAGCACACTGTCCTGCACCAAAGTTTAAGTTGCATCGTACAATGCATACTGTCCTTACAGTAGAGCTGGTCTTCTGCCACAGCTTGTAGGGCCCTCAAAATGTGGCAGTATGATGGATTCACTGGCCAACTAGCCAATTAGGCACTTTGTAGTCCGACACTCTCACAACAGGAAATTTAATAATAGGGGACATGGACGTGTGTGTGTGTGTGTGTGTGTGTGTGTGTGTGTGTGTGTGTGTGTGTGTGTGTGTGTGTGTGTGTGTGTGTGTGTGTGTGTGTGTGTGTGTTTGTGTGTGTGAGTGGGGAGTGGTTCTGTATGTTTCAAACAGGTTTATCTACAGACTGGCCACAGCTAGAATGAAACTGGTTTTGTCTCCCAGGAGATTGTGTTTCACATCTTTCTCCTTTTGTTACNCCGACACTCTCACAACAGGAAATTTAATAATAGGGGACATGGACGTGTGTGTGTGTTGTTGTGTGTGTGTGTGTGTGTGTGTGTGTGTGTGTGTGTGTGTGTGTGTGTGTGTGTGTGTGTGTGTGTGTGTGTGTGTGTGTGTGTGTGTGTGTGTGTGTGTGTACGCATATGAAGACAACCCAAGGCCCTTTCTAGTGATGCTGATTAATGGGTCCGTATTTTCTCTTCTGCTTTTTCTATTTCTTTCTTTCCTTCCTTGTCTTCCCTTCTGTCCGTCTGCGAGCTCATACTATTCCTCTTTTCGAAAACTTCTCCCTCTCTCCCTTGCGTCTGCTCGTTCACAATATAATGGAGTATCAAGCAGAAAAATGGGCAAACTACTTTTAGCCATTTTCAGACTTAAAGACCTTTGGGGCACAAAGATAATACACTAATTGTCAAGGTCCAGAGAGCAATTGACTAAGTATATGTGGCACTGTCTGTGAGTGTGTATGGGTTAAGACTCCTTCTATTAGAACTGTGTGTGTGGACTCACAGTACAATTGTTAACGTAATAAGGGCCCCCTGAACACCTCTCACATCAGTCTTCCTTCCTCACTTTCTATTAATTCCTCCCACTTCATATTGTGTGCAAATGTGTGTGTGAGAGAAGGTCAGAGTATTCTCATACAGACACATGTGTGGGGGGGGGGCAGTGAAGAAAAAAGAGAGGAGAAAAACTACTTTTAATGAAGAGACGGATGATGAGTAGGAGTAGAGGAGAAACGATAAGAAGGGAGATTGTTAAAGAAGAGCAGAGAGTGATGATAGATGAGAGGGCAGTGGGACTCAGTGGGAAGGTCAGGAAGAAGGCCAACAGAGAGGGTGACTCTGATGACCTGAGATCAATTAAGTAAGTGAGAAAGTGAAAAGAGCACTTCTCTGTCTTTAGAAAAAAGCTCCTGCGGCAAAGTACATTTTTCTCTTTTAAATCACAGTAGTATTTGAAGTGCTCCACCAGCATTGAAATGTCAAAACAGTCAAGAAACCACTTGAATGTCTTCTTCTTGTGCTTTTCCGTTGTAAAATAACCACTGCAATCTAAAATTGAGATTTAACCTTGAAATATCATGGCATACATAAAGGCATGCATTTAGTATCAATTGAAAAGGGCATATCAGAGGAGACCTTTTAGTCCTGCTTGATATAATATGATGTTTCTTTTATAGTGCAAACTTTCAAAACCATTAAAGTTGTCAAGGCCAGATGAGCCTTAAATATTATTCTTTTCCATGTTGTTATCCTTTCATCCTTTTTCCCCCCAGACTGATTATTCTGCTCAGTTTCAAATCCATTGTTACAGATAGATTGTGGCTTGGTAATTATGATTGCTATTATTACTGAATGAGATACTTTCACCAAAAATTGCCTCCGATATCCGTTTTTTCACACAATGCCACAGCTGTTGTTTGTGCCATTTCACTGTGAACCCTTTAGCTTCCTTCCTGACAGCCACTCCGTTATGTGAAACAGCTCAAGTAAAGACAAGCAGTTGATATCTGTTCAGTACAGCTCCGTTTCTTACCCCATCTGGGTGTCCGTCTGAGGCTGTGACCACCAGGGTATAATAATCCAGAGACTCCCTGTCCAGAGACTTGTTTAGCACCAGATACCCTGAACTGCAGAAGAAAACACAGATAGAGGGACAGGTTAACTCCTGAGGCATCAGCTTGAAAATGGATCAGACCAGAAAAATTAAAAAAAAGAGCCTGCAGAGTAGCAAACACAGCAGAATGGTGGTGAGGTGTTTTTTCATACACAAGAGTCAACAGCTGGATTTGATGAGAAGCTGCAGTGTGTTGATTGCTTACCATGTTGATAAATCCAGACATTTTAAGTATTGCCTATGGTTATTTTGGATCATGGGAAGAATTTGGACACCTGTTTGGTTTAATTGAACTGTCTATATACAAAACTTTAGAGGCAACTTTTCAGAAAATTATAACTACTGCATTAAAGTCTAAGAAGTGAATTGCTAATGGGGTAATTGGTTAATTTTATACCCATCACCAAAAAATATGTTATCAATCTTACAGTAAGTACTGTTACTACAGTATAATGGCTCAAACAGTAATGTATCATAACCAACACCATATGTAAGGGGACAGACTTTTCACCAAAGAAAATCATTTGAGTGTGAAATATTTCAAAACCACAATAACGTTTAGAATCTGCAAAGTGATTAATTACACATTATTCAGTGACTTCATTGCATTTGACAGATTAATGACAAATTGGGTCTCAAAACATCAATTTATGTCCCTCTATTGGTACAGAATGTGTAAACACTGACCTGTATTGAAATCTATGAATGGTAAAAATAGTGGAAAAGATGCAAGCCATCAAAAAGCTCCTTGAATATGGTTATTTTATAAAGTGCAGTCTATGAATAATTTGTTTAATTTGAAGACATATCATCTCAGACTGAAGTTACCGATTGAGTAAAACTCAGCAATCAAACATGTCCAAACCGAAGCAGAGAGATAAAAGTCAGATTCTGGGGCGAATGATTAACGCATAAGTAAAAATCAACTCCAGAAGATCAACAGCTTCAGAGCAGTCTGTCTGAAACTTGTGACCAATCAAAACCAGCAGAACCCTTTGATGTTGGTGTTGATTGACTTCACTACTTACATTGCCAAGGGAAGATTTACATAATTATTGAAATGTTTTTAATTCAAGCTATGATCATGAATTAGACACCATCTCAAATGCAAATGTTCTCCAAATATTGACAGTGACTGCGTGTGTGTGTGTGTGTGTGTGTGTGTGTGTGTGTGTGTGTGTGTGTGTGTGTGTGTGGAGATGATATATGGTCTACAGAGGGAAATATGTGGAGCTGTGTTTTTTTCCCAAAGAGCGTTTCTCGTCTATTTATGGATAATTCATTAAAAGAAAACTCCAAGGCATGCACACAGATACACACA